TTGGACACTATTGTAAAAGGAATTGTTTCCCTACTTTCTTTCTCAATGTGTCTGTTATTTTTGTACAAGAAGACTACTGATTTTTTAGTGTTGACCTTATATCCAGATACTCTATTGAATCTGTCAATTAAGTCTAGAAGACTTTTGGAAGAGTATCTTGGGCCTTCTATTAGAGTTTCATATCATCAGCAAATAATGACAGTTTAACTTCTTCCTTTTCTTTCTTTCTTCCTTTTCTTTCTTTCTCTTGTCTAATAGCTGTGCCTAATGTTTCCAGAACTATATTGAACAAGAGTGGTGATAGTGGACATCCTTGTCTTGTTCCTGATTTTAGTGTGAAGGTTTCCAGTTTTTGAACATTTAGTATGATGTTGGCTGTTCGTTTTTTCATAGATAGCCTTTATCAGGTTGAGATAAAGACCGTCTATTCCAATTTTCTGTAGGTTTTTTAAAAATTATGAATGAGTTTTGAATTTTGTCAAATTCTTTTTCTGCATCTATTAAAATGATCATATGGTTTTTATTCTTGACTCTGTTAGTATAGTGTATTAGATTTATTGACTTACATATGTTGAACCATTCTTGCATCCTTGGGAGAAATTCTACTTGGTCGGGTGCATGATCTGTTTGATGACCCTCTATATTCTGTTTGCTGGTATGTTTTTGGGGATCTTTGTATCTTTGTTCATTAGGGATATTGGCCTGTAATTCTATTTTTTGGTTGGGTCTTTTTCTCCTTTGGGAATCAAAGTAACACTTGCTTCAAGGGATGAATTTGGAAGTATTGCTTCCCTTTCAATTTCATTGAAGTGTTTTAAGAGTAGCAGCTATAGTTCTTCTTAAATGTCTTGTAGAATTCAGCTGTGAAGCCATTGGGACCTGGGCTTTTTTTGTTGGTAAATTTTTAATTACATTTTCAATTTCACTGATTATACTTCAGGTGTTTAGAATTTTTTAACCTTCTTCATTCAACTTTGGTAATTCATCCATATTTAGAAATTTATCCATTTCTTCTATGTTTTCCATTTTATTGGAGTACAGATTTTTGAAGTAAGTATTTATGATTCTATGGATTTCTCATGAACCTGTTGTGACTTCACCTTTTTCATTCCTAATTGCATGGATCTGAGACTTTTCTTTCCTTTTTTTTGATAAGGTTGGCTAAGGGTTTATCAATTTTATTCTTTCAAAAAACCAACTCTTTGATTCATTGATTTTTTTGTATCATTCTCTTAGTCTTCATTGCATTAATTTTTGCTCAGATCTTTATACTTTCCTCCCTTGTACAAGCTTTGGGTTTGTCTTGCTCTTTTTTCTAGGAGCTTGAGCTTCAGCATTAGGTTATTTATTTTATTAATTTGTTAATTTACTTGGTCTGCAAACAAGATAGCTACCCTTTTTCCAGGTTCTTGTCGCATAGAGAACTGTTTTCCATCCTTTTGCTTGCAGTCTATGGATTTCTATTTGAACTAGGCGTGTTTTTTGTATATAGCATATTGTTGAATTTTGCTTCTTAATGTGGCAGATTCTTTTCTATTCTTAATAGGAGTGCCTGTGGGTGATGCAAAACTTAAGCAGGTTGACAGAGATCTGAGAGTTCACTTTTGGTCATGTTAAATTTGATAGAACATCTCCCTTTTTTAGAGCAGGTATTAAATGTATATTTTGGTGGATGAACATAGAACCAAGAGCAGGGGAATTCTGAGTGAAGATACCATTAGATGTCTATTAACATATAGGCAGTATTTGAGCCATTGCACTAGATTATATAATAACATGGAAGATGCAGACAGTAACATACATAATTTATTAAGCCATTTTCTGTTGCTGTAATGAAATATTTGACTTAGCAGCTTCATTCTGTTATGTGTTGTTAGGAGTCACCTGAGGTCCATTTGTCCATTACTGCTGTCATTAATTTGGTTACTTGTTTGAGTTGGTGTCTGCAAAAACTTTCTGATTCTAGATGGTCAGGAAACTGCAGAACATATGAATTGGAAAGGATGCTAAGGTCATCTCATTTGGGTTTATACCCAATGTGGGAATTTTCTAAAACATTTTACCAGTGGTATTCATTTAATGGTTTTGTCCATATGTATAGGTATAGAGTAAGTGCAATATTTTCACTATAGTTTTATATTACTTTCCATAATCTGATACAAATATTCAAGATGTTATTGAAATATATGGTGATGATTTAAATTTTTAAAAAGTACTCCCCCTACTTCGAACACAGCCTGTTGTTCATTCCATCTCCAGAAGCCATTCTGAACGTGCCTTTATATTATTGTTTGTACTTCTGGTATTGTAACTCAATATCTTGAATCAATTCAGAGTACTTATTTTTTATGGGTCTTTTGACTTTGAGAAAGAGCCAGATATCACATAGTGATAGATCCATTTAATAAGGTAGATAAAAAAACACTATAATGTTTTCATGAGCTTGTTTTTCTGTTGGACGGCACTTGGCAGCAGCATTTACTATATTTTTTATCACACCTCTTAAAGACACTTATGAAAGAGGACTTCCAGAACTGCTTCAGAAAGTGTCCGGAATGATGGGATACATGTATTCCAAGTAAATGGGAGCACAGGGGTGTTTAATGTCAAAATGTTTTACTGTACTGAATTTTGTTTTTAAAATTAAATGCTCACTATATATTTCCATCACATTTTGTAGTTCCTTTTTCTTTTTGTGCTATTAGAGACTGAACCTAAGTGGACAGTGTGAGTCCAAGGGGAAAATAGCTTCTAAATGGCTTGTGGACACTGTGTACTACCCCATTTCTTGCTCACTTTAGTAGAATCTGTCCTTGACCTAATGTTAAACACACAAGTGTTGTTCAGTAATTATGTGCATGATGATTAAATGCTGAGAGCAGCAGATGGAGTGGGAAAAATGAAAGAAAAGAGGCAAAGTAGGAGCAGGAAATTGAAGGGGAGGAGTGTGGTGCCTGGGAACCTTGCTAGGCCAGACCTGAGCAGAGAGGGATATTGAGAGGTTCTGGCTGCAGGACTGGAGTGGCTTCGGGAGATATGGGGGATAAGGCTGCAATATAAACAAAGCGTTGACATGTGACTATCAGCTGAAAGTATTGTTTACCTGAAAGAATTTGCTCGGGAAGCCCTGGAATATTACAAGTTGGAATAGAACGTCAGACTTAATCAGATACACAAAATGGGAAGAAGGAATATATTTCCATTGTTTTAATTTTTATCTAAATCTTATTTTTTTCTGTGTGCTTCCTTACATTATAGAAAGTGCTTTCTGTTTTTCAGACAGCTGGCAGATGTCTTAGGATCCTTACCTAAATGAAAACCTCCATTTTCTCTCTCTGGTGCTCAAAGAGGAGACCAATAGTGCACATAAGCAAGACACCCCAGCATTGAGATGAGCCTAGTTCTTCAGAATCACGAACTTTGAAAAAGGAAATAAGGGAAAAGAAAAAGATATGAGAAAATGAAAAAATAGAAATAAGGTATTTGCAAATAGGGAAGGAAGGAGGGGGTGAAGGGAGGGCAGCGGTAAGGGGAAAAAATGAGAACCAAGATCTGTCATGTAAAGGTACAAGATCCCAATGATAAATGTAACTGTATTGTATGCCTAAAATGTACCAAAAAACTCAATGAGAGAAAAAAAAAAAAAAGAAAGAAAGAAAAGTCTCTTGGGTTGTGGGACAGCAATCTCCTCTGTACAGGCTTTATGAGTCTCAGAAGTAGCTTCAATCAGTCAGATGCAAAACAGACTGCAGGAGCTGAATGCGAGTACTGACAGTTTTGCAGAATCTCAGCATGTAGCACTTTGAATTTTCCAGGGAGAATGACAGTAAAGGCTTATTACTTTCTGTGTCCCTGATTCACCTCACCAATTCCACAGGCAGATATTGCTCCTTCAGGAAGCAGAGCTATGATGTGAAACCCATGCCAAGCCCTCCAGCAGTCATGTGAAGTTGGCTGAGATCATGTGCCCAGTACCCAGGGGAAGAGCCCCCCAAACACTGTGGTCTATCTAGAGTAAGAGTGCCATCTAAAGGACAGCATGAGCAGGGCTATTCTTAGATTAGCACAGTGACTGAACCTTGGAAAGAGTGCTGCTGAGTTTTACAAGCTTAGATCCAAATGTGCTCCCATTCTAAGAGAAGCTCTTAGAGAAGTCTCCACTAAGAGAAATATCGTTGCAAACCAAAGCCTGGTTCCACAGAGCATTTGCACTCAGTTGCTGATCTGTGCTTGTGCTTGTGAACTTTGTGGACATGGTCTGGGCTTCAGGTTTAAGGGCCAATTCTCCATTTTGCCTGTTCTCAGAACTTAGTTCAGCTTGTTTGTCCAGTGAGGCTCTTGACATTGGTGACCGGAGTATGACAATGGAATATTTAGTGGGCTAAATGACTGTCCAGTAGTGGAGATGCAGGGGAGAAAGGAAAGGACTGTACATTTAATGTTGCATTGGGGCACATTTGCATTTGAGTTCCTAAGATGCCCTCTGGATGCCTTAAACTGAGCAATTTGAGAGATCATCCAGTTGTCTTTTTTGGACCTAATGTTCAAAGAAAAGATATAGCAACAGGAAGCAAGTTAAGTTCTATTTAATATGTCTGGAACTTTATCTTTTAAACACAGAGTCCCTCCCAGTACCAAAGTCACCTCTCACTCTCCACTGTCCTTGTGGTTTCTACTGATGCCACAGAGAGGATGCCCACATACCTACAAGGGCAATGCAAGGGCTGAGAGGGCTACAGGGTTCCCTCTCCCACTCATCCTCTTGAAGAAGCTGGATCCCAGGGTTTTCAGAGAATGGATCTATCACCAGCTTTGGAGCCAGACATCCTTAGGGAACATGTGGTCCCACAGTGGTTCTAAAGGCTTAAGAATGAGTTACATAAAGTGTCATAGACCAGGCTTCAGGAAATATGTGCAGCATCCAGGCCTATGGTATCATGGCTTAGAGCACGGGAAGGGGCACAGATGGGGGACACACTGGGGCCAAAGCGAAGAGTTGTTTCTGTATTTGATGGTAAGGGGAGGGTTGAAGAGAGAGGGCTCTGGGTATGTGGCAAGACAACAAAGAATCAGATTCCAGTCTGCAGCATGGCAAGGAGCCATGGGACAGTGCCCTGCAGGAACAAGAGGGCAGCCAGGTGGATGCTTCTCAGGGTAGCTGTGTTGGAGCCAGAAAGGGCTCCTGGTGCATCCCGGAAGCCTGCAAGGGTCTGGTCTTGGGGCTCCACTTTGCCTCCAGAGGACTCCAAACAGGGACCCCGAGGTGTAGGGATGATGTCAGGAATCCAGCCTGTGGTGTTTTCTATCAACTCCTGCAGGCCAGGTAAGAAAAGGGTAAACCTAGAAGCCTCCTTACTCCCTTTCCCTTCCTTGAAGCCTTATTTGGTTATACCCAAGCTTACAGAGTTCACAACCTAACAGAGAGGCTAAAACCACACGCACAACCTAGGCCAGCAACAACCTGTCTCCTCAGCCCCTCCTCCAACTTTGAGTTCTTACACTGTCATTTTCCTTCACCATCCTTCTTTTTTCCTACCTTTTCTCAACACCATCCCACTCCCCTGCACCAGTCTGAGAGGGTGTTATCTGGGGAACACGCACGTCAATAGTCTTGAGCATCACTGTCTGCCTGGCCTCCTTGCAGGCTTTCTCAGCTGTCTTAATGTTCTCTGGAGTCCACTCAACATTGTTCATGACCATCAGGTTGTCCATGGGACTTCTGCAATAGTAGGTTCAAAGCAGAGGGACAGAGAGTAGTTTAGAGTTTACTTGGAGCTTTATCAAAATTTACGGCACCCTCTTTTTTTTGTTAGTGTGTGCCTCATGTCAGCACAAGCCATAGAGAACTTCTACTAACTCACTGAACAATCATGAATTTGACAGAAGAAGAAATATCACCATAGAGAGGAATTTTAGAAACTGATGAAAAGACTATGTTTACTAATGTGATTATTAATTTAAGTGCATGGAACACATGGAAGTTGACAAAGCGACTTAAAGGATCTTGCAGTTATCCTAAAATTGTAGAAGAAATGAGGTGTCTGTACAGATGTGCATTTTTTCTCAGAAATAAGTTTCAGAGCCTTCATGAGAGTCTCAGAGTGGACCCTCATCCTCAAATAATTAATATCCATGACTTGAAATTAAACAATCTTTGAGTCAATAAGCTCATGCAAGCAAGAATTATGCAGGGATGATCTGACTTGCAGGAATAAGTTCTTGTTTGTTCCCTGAATAGTCATGCTGGAAAACATCCCACGAACTCCTGTCTGTTTTGGAGCTAGAAGAGTCTGACACTGACAGATGCAGAGGTGAATAGGATAGGAGATGATTAGACTCTTGATAAGGACTCCTAGCTCCCCAGCCTAGGATGTAGTTCTTGGGTCTCCTTTTCCTCCTTCCTCAGACCTCGCAAGATCCCTCCCCACACTTGTAGATTGTATACTTTCTATCTTCCAGGATGACTCACTCTGCAGCCTCTTCCCCAAGCTCCTGGACCACGTGACTGATGTCAGGATACCCCAGGCAGCTGGAGATGTTATTTCGGGGATAGTAGAAGAGGAAGACAAGACACATCTCATTAAGGGTGCTGGTTCCTCCCTGGAGAAGATGAGACATATAGCGATGTAAAGACATAAAGGCATGCAGAGAGAGGCGAATAAGGGAGGGGAAGACAGCTCCGGAGGCATTCTGTCAGAAACGGCCTTTCCCTTCCCCTTAACCTAGAGCATGCTCACTGTTTCCTCCTCACGTTTTGTCATGTGTTCAGTTCATTCCCTTATGATTTGTTCCTGTGAATACACCTAAACATTGTTCCCACTTTTTATGATATATAACGTTTTTCTTTGTATTAGTCATTTGTATGGATGCATTTTCTTTTTCAAAAGCATGTAACCTCTTTTGAATCCCACAAGCACTGAGCCATTCATGATACCCAAAATTGGTGGGTTCCTTGTGACCCTGGTAATAACATCTAGCTCTAAGTGAGCATCTACTACCAATCAGATGCTCTGTATGTGTTAACCGACTCTCACAACAATCCTGTGAGATATGTAGTGAAGTAATTTTATGGATTAGGAAACTGAGGCACGAAGGAGTTGAATAACTTTCCAAAATGTAGAAAGCTACTAAATGATCATTTGAACCCAGGCAGAGAGGATCGTGCTCTTAATTTCTATAACATCTCTCTATATAACCTTAGTGGGCCATTGACAAAGAATGTCAGAAATCCATGTACTCATCTTAAATGCATGGGAATGTCCTGTGTGCATGAATTATGACATGGGAAGAAAGGGTATCAGTTAGGATAATTGGTCACCGGATGGCCACAGCCAAACTGGAGCTGCCTTCTGGGGCTAAGGTCCTTGTGTTCCTGGTGGGAGAGACACTTACAAAGGTCATGGAGTCCCGATCCAGAGTCTGGTAGTTACATTCTATCAGCAATTCATCTCCCTGTTCAGGGTAAAACATGAAAGCTGAGAGTGAATGGCAGAGGAAGGCTGTAGAACTTCCTTGGGCAACAGTAATGAATTCTGATTCTGCTGTTCCCCAGCTTTAGCCATGCCTTCCCCAGGGTTCCCACCGGCTTGATCTCCACATCACCAGGTAAATCTCTAGTCTCTTGCAGATTGAAGTCATAAGCATCATCTTTACAGATTGTTCGGAGCTGTCTTCCATTTCTAGAGGTACAATAGGAGAGAAGACAGTTGAAAAGATGAAGTAGGGACAGGTCCTATCAATAAATATTCAGTTTCTAAAGTACTTCTGTGAACACAGATTGTTCATAAAAATAAACAGGAAAGGGGATTCTTGCAAATCTTCTTCCTCAGTCTTGTTCCAATCATCTCTAGTCTAGGAATAGTTGTGGCTCCTCAATCTCAATCAAACATATTCTTATACTGAAGAACAAAGAACTGTTATCATAAGCAGAAGGGAAACCTTCAAATCAAGGTCCTCCCTACCTGTATTGCACGGTCTGTAGAGCCCGCCCAGCCAGGTGGGTGTGGAGTAAGTAGCCTATTACCTTCATGTCAGGCACTGGGGCCCCATTCATCTGAAACAGGGAGAAGGCACACTTGATTTGCTAAAAACTTTGATTTTTCACCCAAGCCTTTATTTTCCTTTATTGTCTAAGATCTTCCTCTTCCACTTATGACTGACAATAACTTCCTTAATGCTTTTTAATGCATAGTTTATTAGTATGTTCATGCATAATAATTATAGTCATCTTGGAGAATTGACATCCTAATTCTCCTTACCTTTTCCACCCTCCCATCTCCCTTCCTCCCAAGATCCCCTTCCCATTTCCACAAAAATCTACCTTCTTATTTCCTATCATCTATCTTCCACTTATGACTGACAATAACTTCCTTAATGCTTTTTAATGCATAGTTTATTAGTATGTTCATGCATAATAATTATAGTCATCTTGGAGAATTGACATCCTAATTCTCCTTACCTTTTCCACCCTCCCATCTCCCTTCCTCCCAAGATCCCCTTCCCATTTCCACAAAAATCTACCTTCTTATTTCCTATCATCTATATTTTATTTTTTGTTTAAATTATTTAGATTTAGGTTTCACTTTTTTTTTTTTTTTGTACTGGGGATCAAACTTGGGCAATTGCACTTTTGAGGCAAGTGGTGGAACCACTGAGCTAAATCCCCAGCAGGCTTTTCATTTAAGATAAATGATATTGAACCTTCTATATCTGACCTATCTCAGTTAACACTATGGTCTAAAAATGCATCCATTTTCCTACAAATGACTTAAACCTATTCTTTTTTCTTACCTAACCATTCTGACCCTTCTACCTACTGTACTCCCCTGCCTCAAAGCTGTGAATCCTTTCTTCTCTTGCATGAATCATGTATGAAACATGAGCACCAAGCTCATGCCTGGGCATGGGCTGTGCAGGCTTGGGAATCAGACAGAACTGTGGCAGGGAGCAGGGAACCTGGGGAAGGCGTGTCTACCAGCTTCACCTCTTCAAACTTCTCTGTCTTACACAGCCCATAGGACATGAAAGACTCAGCACCCGGGGGTAGGAAATGGATGGGGAAAGTCAAGACGCCCAGCTGGAGGACACCCATATCGTATTTCCGCAGGTGAGTGGTGTAGTACAATCGAATCCCTGAGGAGTCATACACACCTGGTATGGGAAAACAGACAAACAAACACCGACAGAACAAAATCAAACAACAGAAAAACCAAGTAAAATCTTCAGAAGGCAGGCAAGCAGCTTACAATGTAGAGAGAAGAGGCTCAGGAATTCTGGGTAGGGTTGTGACAAGTAAGATTTGCATGAATCCTATAGTATGGCCCCAGCACTGAGGAACCAGCCACCTTGACTGAGTGCCCTCCTGTGAGTCCTCTGTGTGCTCACCAGGTAGGTTGTGGAAATTGCTGTAGTGAACCTCCAGGCGGATCCACTGAGGGTCCAAGGGAGTCCCTATAGAGATGCCCACCTCATCTGGAAACTGGTAACTCTGATGGGAAGAGAGAAACTTGGCAGACAGAAGGGCTGGGAGCTAGGTGCAGAGATCCAGGGATCTTGCTCTGGCTTTCTACCTTTCATCCCAGACCTTCCTTGTCCCCCAATTTTCCATCAGTGCAGCAATCCCACTGCCCAGCAGTGCTTAACCCCTAGCCACACATTGTCCCCCAACAGGGAACTCACAAGGCCTCCGACAGCCCAGCCCACAATAATCTGTGAGCAGAGGGAGAAGGCAGGGTCGAATCCATAGCATTCATTGATGCCGGTGGGGAGGGTGCTGGCATTGCCGCAGGCATACACTAGGATGTGGTGCACCATGGACTCGTTGTGGTCTATCAACTTGGGCTCAAACTGGACAGAAAAAGGAGGGCAGGTGGAGTCTAGGTTTTCCATGTCAATTCCTTGTTCTCCCATCCCTTTCCCAAATAAAACCATGTCATTTCCCACTTCTCTTCATTTTCTGTCTCTTCTCTTTCCCGTCTCTGTTTCTTTTCCATAAGCTACCATTTTGCTTGGCTCTGTTTGACTCTTATTTTAATTCCCACTCTTTAAAACCTCTTGCCTGAAAGCAATTTAAACTGTGCTAAATCTACCTGGGGACATTCCAAGCAGTCTGACTCAGGAACCTTGATTATTTTGTGACTTTTGTGCATGTGTTACATGCAAATGGATTCTCTTTCTTTAAAAAAAAAAAAAGTTGGCTGGTACACGTTTGGGGCTTATAAGGTTTTATTTTTATGTATTTAGGCAAAATTGAAATTACTCAAATGTGAAGTGAAATGGACAGATTGGAGTTCACTGTAGCCAGAGAGTGCCCCTTCCTGACAGCTTGCAGCCACATCCCTTTCCTGTCTTTACCTCCTCATGGGCTAAGAGAGCACAATGCTGTGGCCAGAGTGAGGCTCAGACTTTGTTCTTTGCAAACACTTGTTAACCTGTAACCTCTGTCCCAATACTTCTTGCTGCATTGTGAAGCTTGCATAAAATACCCCTGATAGTTATAGTTCTGGGCTCTAATAACTCCCACCACTACCAAACTCCCATCTGGCCCATAACTCCCCAGCTACCTCCCCAAGCTTCCTCTTAGCACCATCCTTTAGATCCTGACACACCCTCAATTCTGCTCCAGTCTTCCCCACCTTGGCAGCCTCCCCTCTGCTTCATGTACCTTGAAGATGTGATGCTTCTCGCTGACAATGGGGAGAGGCAGAAAGGTACAGGCATAGGTGGTATCATCCTCTGGAATGAGAAACTGGGGAAAGGTGCAGAGAAGCTGAGTGGGATGGGGCTGGGGGATCCCCTGATTTTTTGGGATTCATTTTAGGTCTAGATTGGGAGAGAGGAGATTCACAGTAACTGAGCGAAACAGGAGGGGGTCTGCTGGAGGCAGGTTCTTGAGTGGGGAGGTCTTACATCGGTGATCTCCAAGTCATGGATCATGGTGTCCATGGGGAAATCCAGATCGTCAGGGTGGAATATTTGTAGCAGGAAGATGGACTTGACAAAAGTACGCTCCCGCCTGAGCTTCAGTGTGTCATCCAGGCCATAGGCAGTCAGGACTCGCATCGTGTCACTCTGGGGGTGCCATGGGCAGTGAGGGATGCCACCCCTGAGTGGTGCTTTGCACATACCTGCATCCAAGGCCCTACACCTGCCTCTCATGTCTATACAGTGGAAAGGGGCGATCTTTAGACAGGAGACAGAGCTAGTCTGGTTCTAGTCCTGCCTCCAAAGCTAATATGCTGGTAATGCTGGCAAGTCCCAAAATCTCTCACACTCTTTCTCTCTCTGTGTCCTTACTGTAAAATGAGAAGATTGAGACACACATTGGAATCTGGAAACCATCAGTGCAATTCAATTAGGCAGGGTTTTTCAGGAACAGGAGGCTGGAGTGGGCACTGAATCATTAGGGGTCACCCTGTGGAAGGTTTGTAGATTTTTAGATTTTAATTTAAAGGTGATACTTGAGAGGGATGAGAGAGATGAAAGTCCCAGGAGCTGTGACTGGCTGGGTAACTGAATGTGACTCTACTTCCCCAGAAAGAAAGTTGCTGTGATTAAGTGGTTTTCTCCCCTCCCTATTTACCGTAATGTCCTGGTCATGAGGGTCGCAGGAGCGGAAAGGCCTGGAAAAGCGCATGGTTGTATAGGTATCATCTTCTGTTAGCCCCAGCAGCTCAGCATCCTGGCTCCCATCCTCTTCTAGAGTGTCTTCATCCACAAGGTGTTGATCCTGGGGCCCAGTGGAGGTTAAGTAAGAACAAGGAGCACTAAAGATCATGCATGAGGACAGAAACTGTCTCGAAATCCCTCAGGATAGTAAAGTGGCAAGACTGAGATTTGCTTAATCATGTGATCTCCTACTAGGGCAGAGCATGGCACCAAAGAATGGATTCTCTGGGAAAATGGATCATGTCTGATTCAACCTCTTGGCCTGGTTTTACTTCTCCCATTTCAATTCTCATCTCTATCAGTCTTAATGTTCCTGCATCCCCAGCTCTTGGAAGCTCACTTAATTTCTGAATGGTCTTGCCATTCGTTCTTTCTCTTAACATGTGACCTTGTACTGGCAATTGACGTTTCCCTATTTAAGTGCAGGTCAGAATAGTGATTGTGAGCTCAGAATAGGTAAGATAGGGAGATGGTTGAATTACTTCTTCACCTACAAAATGCAAGTAATAATAATCCACTTCATGGTGGTCCTATGAGGTCTAAAATACAAAAAATTGGGGACAACGTCCACTTTTTGGAAGGGTTATAACAATTTTAAGCTATTCATACTGCTGTTGTTGCTGCTGCTGCTGTGGCTGCTGCTGTTTTTGGATAATGTCAGGTTGTATTTCTCCTGGTTGACCTTAAAGGAAACTGAGGATAGAGACTGTGTCTCTGACACCTTTGAATGTTTCCCAGTAAGCTGCATTTAGTGTGTATTAGCAAGTCCATGGTGCAGTGTAAAGGTCCCATTCTCAGCAGGTTGGAGACATACGGTCTGGAAGACAGGTCACAAAGTACTGTTGGACCATTTCCGTAAGGAGATGGCAGTACTCAGCTGGAGTTCCTCGGGTGTGCTTGGGTGTGTTTAGAGGATAAAGCTCCTCTATGGACATGAAGAAATACTCTACCCAACAAACGACCTCATCCTTGGAAGGGAGTCATCCTCAAACTTACCGAGAAATAGACATTGCCATCAGGCAGGACTCCTCCAATGACCAGATCACCTCCCACGATGGTGTAGCGGTTTGTGGTGCCCACACCTACCCAGCCAGCCGTTCGAACCTGGAGCTCAAAAACAATGACCTCAGTCTTAAGGTCAAAGTCCCAGCGCAGGAAAATGACATTGGAAGGATCTAGGAACCTGGAGTAACGCAAGCGAGAGGTGGGGCCAAGGCGGTTGCCTTGGGAGGTGGCTGCGAGGGTTAGAAGCAGGAAAAACTTTAAGAGAAGGATACAGGCCATGGTTCCTGGGTCCCAGAGCATCTTTCCTGCAAATGGACACTCAAGAGCTCTGGGCTTATATGTGCCTCTGCTTGTTCCAGGTGCCATGTCATGGGGGAGGGACCAGCTAGGGTTCTTCTGATCTGATTATCCTCTGGATTTAGAATGGTGCCACTTACATAACTGGAGCTGTACAGGGGACAGAGGGGACAGAGCTGTACAGAGAGTACAGGGCAGGTTTCTCTCACTTGAGATCAGGGTCCTGCCAGGAAATGATCATGAACACACGATTCTGACTTCCCACTCCAACTCCAGGCCTGTGCCCTGGCCCTGAAGACCGCAAAGAGTCTGAGGGTTTTTCAGTTTCTCTTTCCTTTCCTCTGTGTCCCCATCCCACCCCTTGCACCCTGAAATATTCTTACTGAGCATTCTGCCTCTGGTATATGCCCTTCACTCAATTATATGTGTTTTGTCTGTGTGTAGAAAGTAGGTACAAGCATAGGAGGTGGGGCTGCATATAAACCCCCAGTGTAGAGAGGAAAGCAGTTGCTGGGAGGGATTGGGTAAGCTGATTTCCATCTCCCCAGGAATCTTTGCTACTAATTCCAGGAAGGACACCTAGAGGTGAAATAGCTATAATCAGCTTTGCAGATGGGTAAGGCTTGAGTAGCTTTTTTGAACACTCCTGGGGAGGAACGAGAAGAGGAAAAAGTGAGGGGGAAAAAGAGGGAGAAAAAAGAAACAGATCTGAATTTGCATTTTGGATACTTTGTGTTTGACATTTCCTTCCATGAGTTGCTTTCAGAGAATTCATATGCTAGTGACACTCCCCTGGAGGCTTTGTCTGATTTCACTTGCAAGCACGTTGGTCTTACATTAAACAATAAAAGCACAAAAGAGATATTAGAATAACAGAATAGAAATACTAGGTCCACTTTATTTTCTAAAAACTACTATCTATTTTCAGATAAGAAAATGGGAGCCCCAGGGGGTAAGGTGAGTAATGTGTGATCACCCTTTGTGTCAGTGGCAGAGATGACAGGAGAACTCAGGAGTCCTGCCTGTGATCACTCTTTCCATGATTTCTGGAGGTCACCAACACCTGCAGGGCAGCATACCCTTGCATGCTTTTCTACCATGCCATGTCCCTGTAGAGGGAGGGGGCTAATGCCAGTTAGCGATTTTTTAGGGAAGAACCAGTCTTGCTCTAACTTCAGTCTGACCTCTTCCTGGTAGCTGGCATCAGTGCTGTCAGCCACCTCCTGTGGTCCCAGTTGCCAGTACTCCTTACACAATGGAGAAGACAGGTGCCCTGAGGGCTTCCCTAGCAGGGTAAGGCCACCTACCACCGGAATCCAGCTCTATGTGAGTGGAGAAATGCTAAGAGTGAGCTGCTTAACTCCTGCACTCAGCACCTGCCTAGTGTGAGTTATCCACCAAGATCCAAAGCTGGGAGGCTTGTTTGCTGCTGCTGTGAGAAACTGAGTAGTAATTGAAAGAATGAGAAAAGGAACAATGTCCAAAAGAGCAGCCACACCCTCCAACTTTGGCCCTGGCAGAGAAGGTGAAAGCTGGCCAGCCATCTGGAAGCAAGAAGCTTACCAGGGTCCAGGATGGGAGCCCGGCCAAGACTGGACAATACAGAGCTGAGGAGGCATGGTGACCTTGAGGAGCAGGAGTGCCCAAGGGGTAGATAACATGAGTGTTGGAGACACTCTGATCCCAATCTCACTTGAGGATTAGGCTCAGGCGAAAGCATCAAGGAGACTGGACAGCCAGCACTGTAAGCAGAGAAGGGCCCAGGATCCCTTATCCTGCAAGCTGTCTGGTTGGTCAGTGCACTGTCCTCAGGGAAGAAGCAGGGAACTCCCTGAAGAGCTGGGAGCCTGGGACTGCAGACCCAGGGAATCTCTGCTCCTGAGCTCTCCTCTGGCTTCCACCCTGGATGCCAGCTGTTGCTCTGCCCTGCTGTGGGGATTCTGCAGGGAGATGGGTCTGAGTTCTGGCCCAGTCCAGTTCCCCTTTGCATTTGTCCAGTGTCTATCAGGGGGCAGACACCAATGTGAATACATAGCAGTCCCAGGTCTTGAAATAGCAAAGTTCCATTGCTGAACTAGTCTGTCTCTCCACGTTGTTGCCTGTAAAATGCTGAGGTTGGAGAGATAATAGGTTCAGAAACTTTTAACTCTAACTTCCCAGATTACTGGTTCCGGAATTGAAAAAAAAAAAAAAAAAAAAA